TTATGAGATGGCTCACCAGCTGATACATTTGTCGTCGAATGATTGAGACTCAATTTCTTGAATGGTTTATGATTGTTGCTACTTTGCCCATATCATTATTGTTTTTTGATGTCCCTTTAAATGAAGATTCATTATCCGAACTGGAGTGAATGACACAAGATAATCACCATGGTATGGTTCAGAGATATCGAATTAGGAGAGCTACTATTGTGGATGGTCTAAGACTTTGCTGTGATGTTTGGATACAGCTATCTCTTCTTGTTACTTTGTTGCAAACTTTGAGATGACCAAATCAATTGATCCTCACTCACTCTGTTTTCCAGATGCTACACTTCGAGTCACACGATATACTGTACATTTTCTGTACCATGAAGTGTTTGTCTTGGTAGATTTAGGCTTGGGCTATGTCTTGAGAAGTATAAATTGACCTTTGTTGTTACTCATTGGACCTTTTGTAGCTGAAATCATCCAGCCCTAGCCACCTCCTGTTGATTCTAGAGGTTTCACATAGGTATACAACTAATTATCTATGATAGAGAACTTTACTCCTTGTACCTCAAGTCGATTTCTACCAATGGAAGCTGTTGTTGTCATTGAACGTTGGGGAAGTAGCTATCGTTGATGTGTTGCTATGGTTTCACATTTGCTGACTGCGACCATCCGAACATCAAAATTGAGCGGGGTTTGAGAAAAAACATCAACAAAGCAAGGGGACTTTCTTATATCAACACACTCTTTCCATTGACAATTCAAGCATTGAGTCTTTGGAAGATGATGGTTTCAGGATGGAATGCTTCTTTGTATCACATAAGGCTATTCCAAATGACTTGAAAGGCTTTGAGTGACTGTGAAAGTCACAGCAACAGCACTAGAGGAAGAGATGAGAGTTTTAAGGGTCTCAACTACTGTACAAGAATTGGTCTTCCAATGAGAGCTTTGAAGTTTGACACATTTATCAATGGATCATATGGACCACCGTGATTACTTTTCTACCCAAGGAACTGGGTAAAAAACTACCACTCTGTCTCGTGCATAAAGTATAGACATGTCTCTTTGGCTAAAGATTTTAACAACTAGATATCAACACATCTACGTATTTGAACTGGCATTTCCATTGGTTCTCAACAAGAACAACTTGATGAAGCGTACACAGTGATGGTATAGATATCATTGTCTTTCCACTTTCTGGTATTTGCTGGTGTTACTTGGTATTAATCTGCATTTTGCTGTCTGTGAAACGCAAACTTGATATGGGTCGTGAGATAGCGAAGTCTTATACCACACAATTGAGAAGTCAACTACATATAGATGATGCTACATTAGCCA